TTAAAAATGTAAAAGTAATTATCACTGGTTCACTACATTACATCAATATTCATCGCATATCGAATGTTGCATTGTTTCAATATCTATCAACAAATTATCCAATAAACAACAAGTAAAAATTATATAACTATTATTTGGTGTTTGCTAGGTATGTTATAATATACTGTGAACACTATAAGGATACATTATATAAGAATAAATTGTAAGAACATCGTTGGAGTCATCAGAGTCACCGCGTGCGCGCTCGATCCGTCACGTTAAGCAATAGTTAGTGCGGTCAGGAGGAGATTGATGGGTGCCGCGGTGTTTTTCTACCGCTTGGAATCAAAATTATCTCAGGAAGATTCTCATGAGAGTTTGGAATGTATTGACAACCTTCGATATCTAGTAGTTTATGAGACATGAGAAAATTAGGAATATAAGTATATTTCTGTAAACAATTTAATTTTCTCATTTTCACCTTCGCATAATAATTCTCAGTATTTGATTACTATCAATATTTAACATTGATTTTATTATCAGTATTCACCAGAAATTAAGTACTGGCAAAAAGCTAAAAAATTACAGAATTACTGGTAATATTTAATCACTAATAACCCAGCAAACACAGATATATAACAGTTACATTGCCGTAATGAAACGGAATATAACATGCAATATAACATGTATGTAGTAGGTTATATAGATGTTCGTTGTAATTTCCTATTCACACGTGTTATAGTTATATAACGTGAATATAACATAAAAGTAACATGTGACTAAAAAGTTATATAAAAGTTATATGTTATTTGTTAGCAAATTAACACATATATTTTTTTGTTGAATTCCAACGATTTATTCATTAGTATGGTTCAGATAAGTGATAATGTATGATTATTTTGTCTAAATAATTAAAAAAAAAACTGACATTTTATATTCCGTATTATTTCAATTATTCGTGAAACTCACGTGGTTTCGATTTTATGTCAAGCGGGCACCCGTTTTTAGATCATGTTGTTTAATGCTTAACTTCAATGATCGTCCGGGAACTAGTGATGCTGATGCGCCGTAACGATATCTTTCTTGATAGATAATATTTACAATATATTCTTATATCGTTCAAAAAATGTTATGACATATTTGTTGGTAAATGTTTGACACGACAATCACAATATGATTAATATTGATACAATGTTATATCAGTAATCAAATTTTAACCTACAACTCGCAAAAGAGAGAGAATATTCCTTCTTTCTCTTTCACAATATTTTGACAGAGTAAGGTTATGATTAGACTCTTTGTAAGAACTCTAGTTTTACAATATCGTTATAGCGATCCTTGCATATATTA